GAGGTTGCTTGACAATCCCTGTGGTTGCTCTGCAATCCAGACAGCTGGTCAGGCCTGCTCCCACAGAGGTCACTGGCTCAGGCCTTCTCACACAGAGGTTGCTGATTTGGGCCTAGTCCCACGGAGGTGGTTCACTTGGGTCTACCTCCGTTGAGCTCACTGGCTCAGGCCTGCTCTGGCGGAGGTCAGTGACTTGGTACTGCTTGGGCTTGCTCCTGTGGATGTCCCTGGCCTGGGCCTGGGCCCTTGGAAGTTGCTCCCTCATACCTGCTCCAGCAGAGGTCCCTGGCTCAGGCCTGCTCTGGCAGAGGTCACTAGCTTGGACCTGGTCCTGTGGAGGTTACTGGCTAGGGCCTGCTCTGGCAGAGGTTGCTTTCTTGGGCCTGCTTCCACAGATGTCCCTCTCTTGGGCCTGCTCCTGCAGAGGTTGCTTACCTGGGCCTGCTCCTGCTGAGATTACTCTCCCGAGCCTGCACATGTCCTTGACTCGTTCACTCACTTGGGTCTGTTCCTGTGGAGGCCTTAGAGCTGGATCTTATAGAGGCATTTTCTCAGTTGAGGTTCTCCTCCTTTCAGATAACTCTAGCTTGTGTCAAGTTGACATAAACTAGCTAGCACAATGGTCTTTTTGTTTGTTTGGTTGGTTGGTTGGTTGGTTTTTTGAAACAGGGTTTCTCTGTGCAGCTTTGGTGCCTGTCCTGGAACTCTCTCTGTAGACCAGGCTGGCCTCGAACTCACAGAGATCTGTTTGTCTCTGCCTCCCAAGTGCTGGGATTAAAGTGGGTGTGCCACCACTGCCAGGCTACAATAATTTTACAAGCACAGAATAGAAAAAGAATTGAAGATTGAGTTCTTCCGCGGCAAAGCCATTCTTAATCTTCCCTAGCTAGCTGGTCACAGTCATGGACCTAGCATTCCCAGTAAGAGTTCCTGTCCGTTGTCATCATCAAGAAACATTTGCTGAGTACCTTGTATGAACCACATGTTAGGGTAGGAGCAGAGGAAAGGTAGATCTGGTCCTTGGGATTATATCATGGCAAAGTAGGCATGATTATAGAGTAGAAAGTATAGTAAGTATCCAAAATTATATGTAAGTATATGAAAGTATATGATGAGCAAGATGATTACAGGCTGTGCTGTGTGACTGAAGAAACAGGCAGGATGTTGTGCTGTAGAGAAACAAACAGGGCCTCTTTACATGGAGTGAAGTGGAGCTCACTCAGGCCTTGCTTTTGGCCTAAGAGACAAGAATGATCCACGGGAAAGTAAGTCCAGGCCGAGGGATCCATTGAGAAAGAGTTTGGCATAGTAAACAATTGAAAACACACATACAGAGAGAGAGAGAGAGAGAGAGAGAGAGACAGAGACAGAGACAGAGAGACAGAGAGAGACAGAGAGAGAGAGACAGAGAGAGAGAGACAGTGACAGAGAGAGAGAAAGAGAAAGAAAAGAGGCCAGGCTCGTATTGAAAACAGGAAGGAATGGGAAACAAGGCTAGTAAAAGGTGAATTGGGCTTTTAGAGACGTGAAGACTGGAGACTTTGATAAAGTTCTAAGTATATCTTGGAATGGACCATTTTCTTGGTATGTGAGGCTGGACCAATCCAAGAATCCTCCCTGTGGAACCGAGGGAAATCATCAGACTGGTCTTTTATAAACTACGTAGAACTTGGCAGCCCAGTCAGGACACGTAGGGCACAAGGATGTGTTATGAGAAAGGGATGGTGCCCACCGGTCCACTTGCCAGGCTTTGATCAGGTTCAGGAGAAAGGACTCAAGCAAAGGTTCTGGTCTCTGTGGAGAACTGCACTGAGGGAGGAGTTTGTCCTTCTTATTCCTGGCTCTACCTGTATCCTCTAATGGTCCACTCTCCCTCCCTTCCTCCCCTTCTATTTTTCCTATGCCGGTGCAGGAGGGATTTGAACCCAGGGCCTCTCTCATGCTAAGTGTATGCCCCACCACCAGACTGCTAGCCTGGTAATGGTCCTTTGAAAGACATTTTAATTAATGAAAAGGGAATCCACAAATGTGAAAGGGGCAGAGGGCATATGGGAGCGGTTGCAGGGAGTACTGGGATGGGGGAAATGGTGTAGTTATATTATAACCTCAAAGAATAATAGAGAATTCCAAGAGGCAATGAGGCCCCGGGACGTTCCATACTGAGCCAAGCACACAAAGCATAGGCCACCGTGCCATGTGGTTTGGGGGAAAAGTGAAATGGAATTGCATGCAGGGATGTCCCACACAGTGTCTGTCCCAGCAGTGGGGGCCCGCGAATGTCCCCTCTCAGCAAACTTGGTCCAGTACTGTCTGCTCCGAATATTTTCCTATATCATCTCTGTCCCTACTTCAAACTCACCTGTGTGTTCTTGCACTACTTAGATAAAAAGAATGGCTTTTTACTGTTCCCACCATGTCCATCTGTCTTCCCACCCGGATTTTTCTGCACTCTCAAATCACATCAGGTAGGTAGCTGCTGCTTCTACTCGCTGTGGTGTTTGCTGCCTGTCTCCACAGCACCAGACAAGAGCAACACAGCAGCCATTCGTCCTCAGTACCAGCGGCATGCCCCTGCACCAACTCTGAGCAGTGTTTGCTGACATCTCAGACAGGAGGGACTAGGCAAGTTCTCAAGAGACAGTCAGATGAGGATGTGGAGGCAGGAGATTTGCGGGAATACAAGGTGGAAGGACAGAGGGAGGTGTCGGAAGGTTGCACAACCCATGGGGACGTGGCAGGGAGTAGGTCATGGCTTGGGGCTTTTCCTGCATTCCTGCGAGGCTGGACTGTGACTCCCTGTGTTCTTTACTGCTCCACTGCTTCTGCCAAGCCCATCATGACTCACTCCTTCCAGGCAGTCTGCCTAGATTGGACCTGCCTACCTAGACCAGGAAGGCAGAGTAGGGTATACTTCCTTTTGTCACTCCATCATTGAGAAAGACTTGGAAGGATGAGGTCTTCATTTCCTAATTGGTTGGCCAGCTGTTCCCAAGGGCAATCGTTCCAATTACTTGGTTATGTCTTCCTCCAAAAAATTGAAAACCTGGTTTTCTCTTTGGAGCTATAAAAAGTTACTTCAACTAGATGTATAATTTCCAACATGTAATAAGTAGACATTTTTAAAGCTTCTTACATCACTCTTTAGAGTGTGCTCAAATGGCCATTCTACATTTACCATTATTATCTTTAAACTAGGTCAGCAAGTTATTCTCCTGGGCTAGGCATTTTATACTTGCTGCACACAGACCTAATTTTCTTCTCTTTCCCCTGCAGGAATATCATCCCCGGCATAATCTAACCAAATGCTTAAAAGCCTTATTTATCTTTAAATCTCTTCATCATTCTTTGTAACAAACGTATGTAAGCAAATTGAAATTTGCAATATATCCTGTGACTGTCAAGCTCAATGATAGAAACAGTTCAGATGGAGTTGCAGACAATTGTTCTGACCAGTTGTTATTGTTAAACATAAGGGGTGGGTGGGTAGAGAGATGGCTCAGCAGTTAAGAGCACTGGTTGCTCTTACAGGACCAGGGTTCGGTTCCTAGCCCCCACCTGGGAGTTCACAACTCTCTATAACTCCAGTAGGGGATCCAACGCCCTTTTCTGGCCTTCAGGGACACCAGGCAGATGTTATACATATATACAAGCAGGCAAACATTCATACACATACTAATAGCTGGGCGGTGGTGGCACATGCCTTTAATCCCAGCACTCAGAGGCAGAGGCAGAGGCAGAGGCAGAGGCAGGCAAAGGTCTGTGAGTTCAAGGTCAGTCTGGTCTACAAAATGAGTTCCAGGGCAGCTGGGATTACATAGAGAAGCCCTATCTTAAAATACAAAACAAAACAAACAACCAAAATATAAAGAACAGATAGTGAGACGTGGACTACAGTGACTGACCGTGTCCTGCTCGTCCCTTCTTGTTCTTCACCTTGGCAATACTCAGAAGTTGTGTTTGCATTAAGTAAGCAGCAAAGAAAAGATTTTCTTAAAGTAAAAAAGTCCTATTGCACATTAGAAAAAAAATGCAGTCCCAGGGATATATATTGTAACTGGCTTCCCTGGGAACAACTAATATAATCAAAATGATGCTTGTGCCCCTCTCTTTGGCTATCAGACTATTAAAACAGTAGACTTGAAGAATCCCCTTGGCATCTACTGGAGAAGGTCTAAAGTGCTGGAGGCATCTTCTAAAGGAACTTATCAGCTAGGAGTGAATTGACCGCTGGAGAAAATGTCCAGTTTGTCTGTCGGCCTCGTAGGAGAGATTGGGAGCCTAGACAGTGTCGGACAGGCCCATACCTTGGCCAGACTCCTTAACTGCACAGACTCCTTAACTCCTGAAGAGGGACTTGGGGGTGAGGTGGCATTTACTAGATCTCTTTGTCTTTCTATGTGGCCACACTGAGTAAATCACTGTTTTCTGCTTCCACCATTGATTTTTCTTCCTTTAATTTGCTCATTGAGGATGGGGTGACTGACCCGGCTTGTGAGGACATAGGCTGTGACTCCAGTAACATTTTCAAAAAATAACTTTTAACCTCCCGTCTGTTGAAAACCCAGTAAGTCCTTTTCTCGTTTGGAAAAGCCAAAGCTTGGGAAATACTTCTGCAAGCATTAATTAGACTTGCGCGGTCCACTTCCCCCCTTTAATGTTGCTCATTTTCTCAAGGCCAATGCCAATATTTTGCATTGTTCCTTTGTTTGACCTCAGGAGGTCTTTCCGCCCTGGGGCAGCACAGCAGAATAAAAGGCAGTTCTGCACCTCTCTGGCTGGCCTGTGCTTGTGACATTCTGAGAAGGACAGTAGGCACTTGACTTCTCTGGGGCGTAGTCCACACTGCCTGTGAAGGTTACAGGATTCCCCGGGTACAATGAAGACCCTCCCCTCTGAGGTCAGCCCCACTGTACAAAGTACACATGGTACCTGCCTGATCCCATAAGTAAAGCTAGATGCTTGAATGGTTTTTAAAAATAAACTTCTTTTACAAGTATAATTGAATTGTACTTTTAAAAGCTGTCTTACTTACTTTCTACTTTATTGTGCATTTGGTGTTTTACCTGCACATATGTCTCTTGTGAGGGCGTCAGGTCCCCTGGAACTGGAGTTACAGACACTTGGGAGCTACTAGGTGAGTGTTGGGAATAGAACCCGGGTCCTCTGGAACAGCAACCTGTGCTTTTAACCATTAAGCCATCTCTCCAGCCCCTTGAATTGTACCTTTAAGACTGTATTCCTCTGTGCACGCAGTGAGCACCCCTTAAATATCTGCTCCTCTGTGGTTAGTTGTCTTCTTTCTCAACTTTTGTCTATTTCTCTACTGGGTCATAGTTCTTTTTTCTGTAAAAGTGGGTGGGGGAGCAGAATTAATTTTTGCCTGTAATGTGAGTTACATATTTCCCTAGTGTATTATTTCCCTTCGAATTTGCTAATGATCATTTCTTCATGTAAAAACACTTAGGGCAGATTAATTAATATCCTCATGTTTTCTTTAAAAATGTGTATGTTTGCTTTGATTTTAAATTTTTTTTATCTTTAATGTGTTTACTATTAATTTTATCCCCAGGTATAAGGTGGGGATTCAAGTGTCCTTTCCTCCAATGCTATACAGATGATTTGAGCTGTGGGGTCTATCATCTGAAAGTCCCACAGTCAGGGTTTATATTGCTTGTATCTGGTGCATGTGTGTGCTCTCCATGCGATGGTGGCACAGAATTTTAGCCTTGTGACATATCGTCTGGTGCTTGTCTGTGCCCTCTGTGATGATGGCACAGAATTGTAGTCTTATGACATATTGTCTAGTGCATGTATGTGCCCTCTGCGATGATGGCACAGAATTGTAGCCTTGTGACATATCGTCTAGTGCATGTATGTGCCCTCTGCGATGATGGCACAGAATTGTAGCCTTGTGACATATTGTCTAGTGCATGTATGTGCCCTCTGCGATGGTAGCACAGAATTGTAGCCTTGTGACATATCGTCTGGTGCATGTCTGTGCCCTCTGCGATGGTGGCACAGAATTGTAGCCTTGTGACATGTCATCTAGTATTTGTCTCCCCTTATTTGTCTCCCTAGTTTTTCCGTGAAAACACCTCACACTAAAACATGGCGATAGCACTGATCCTGAGATACTGCTAAGGTAAATGAGCCTCACTGGGCTGTTTGGATTTTTCTGAACATAAAAGAAGGAGATGGGAGGTTACCTGGCACCCTAAAAAGAAGCCTGCCACTGGGAGAGAAATGTCACCTTCAATCTGCGGACTACTCCAGCCCACACTGATACTTGAAGAGGAATGACCCAAGTTGGCAAAGAACAGGTAGGGTTAGAGATAAAACCCTAACCTTTTATCTGATCTTCCCTGTCTGAACTGTTGAGCTCGGGACTTGGAATGCAGCATGGTGGCATGGTGCTTGCGGGCTCCTTCTGCGGCACTGACAACACGTTTGAGTGCCCAATATCTCAGGGTAGCTTCACTAGTGGTCAGGAGTTTGATCTGTGATGTTATTTTATATAATTTGCCATGCACCCCCCACCCATGGTAAGATAGGGATGAATGAGATTCCTCCATTATAGACTTTATTCATCAATATTGTTAGATTTTTTTTCCCAAAATTTTCAGCAAGTCATTAACTCTGACGCAAAGCTCCCAACGCCACATTTCTGTCCCAACGCCACATTTCTGTTACAATTCCACTTCCGTTTCCAGATGGCAAGCACATTTCTGTGCTGTGACTCCAGGGCACAGGATGCTGAATGCACAGGGCTTGGCTCTTACTGTGGCTCTGCTGCGGAGCCATCAAAGGCATTCACCATTGTTCCAGTCCTATTCTCTGGGGATGCTCACAGATCCTGCAGCCTCCTGGGGCACATACTTGTAGAATTCCTTGGATCTGCAGAGGGTTTGCTATTATGCTTTAATAATGGTTTTCAAGACTTCAGGAATTCTATCAAGGGGACACCCACAGTTCAAAAACTGAAGGTAAGCAAGAACAAAAGTCAAACATAAATTGAAAATGTGAAGACCCTGGAATGGATTGAATTGTGACCCCAAAATGATATACTAGGTTCCAAGCCCCCATTGCCTTGTTTGGAATTCAGGTCTTTGCAGTTGTTATATTAGTCAGGGTTCTCCAGGAGAACAGAACAGAACCAACAAAGTGGTGTGTGTGTGTGTGTTCTGTTGGATTAAGTTATACCATAGGAGGTTATATAGTTCAACAATAGCTGATTACATGCTGGGGAATTTGAGAACCCAGTAACCTCTTAATTCATAAGACTGGAAGCTTCAGAACCAGAAAGACAGATGAGCCATCTCCCCAGCTTTCTCTTTTACCAATTTTATACTAGTATATCAATTGGGCCCTCAGCCAATTGACGGTTGCCACACACATTCCGGACGGGGCTTTCTTCCTTTGTTGCTGTCCCACATCTCTGGCAACATCTTCCCAGATACACCAAACAAGGAGTATTATTACTCCCTGGCATGTCTCATGGTCAGGTTGAAAATATAGAGCAAGCATCACAATTGTCGCTAAGGTGGGCTCTAGAGCTGAGACTGTTGTAATATGGGCGGTGGCGGGCTGCGGCCTGTCACCCGGCTAGCTTTACCCGAAATAATTACACGGAAACTGTATTCTTTTAAACACTGCCTGGCCCATTAGTTCCAGCCTTTTATTGGCTAGCTCTTACATATTGATCCAACCCATTTCTAATAAGCTGTGTAACACCACAAGGTGGCTTACCAGGGAAGATCTTAACCTGCATCTGTCTGGAGTGGGAGAATCATGGCAACTGCCTGACTTGGCTTCTTTCTCCCAGCATTCTGTTCTGTCTACCCTGCCTATCTAAGCTGCTGTCCTATCAAAAGGGCCAAGGCAGTTTCTTTATTAACCAATAGACATATGACCCTTCTCCATCATGAGACCATCTCACGCTTAGAGTGTGCCATCAATCCAGCAAGCCAGGTCCCTAGAAGGAGAGGAAGACTTCTCTCACAGAGATGTTCAGAGCTGCAGAAACCAGAGTGACATGTCTACAAGCCAAGGAACATCAAAAGTTGCCAGAAAACCATCATCAGATAAAGACAGTCAAAGAATGTGTCCTTTCTTAGGGGCCTTCAGAAGGGACCAAACCTGTGACATGGTATATATTTCAGATGGCAACACTGCAGAGCTGTGAGGACAATGGTTTGTCATTTGGAGTCATTCAGCTTGTGGTCACTTATGGAAGTCACAGGAAATTTATACAAACCCACCATGCAGAGACTGACTCTGAGCAGTCAGCTCTCATCCTCACAGTCAGGCAAAACTGTGAAGACAAAACAAGCAAACAAACAAAAAGCCTCAACAGCTCCCCTGCCTCACTTCCCTGCTAATCTGACTCTGCCTTCCAGCTGCCCTAGTTAGTAACACACTAGTGCCTAATCCTGACCTATGCTTCCAGAAGCTTCTCTCCTTCAAGACCCAATTATCCCTCTCTTTCCTTCACATTTTCTCCTGTGCCAAGGCCTCTGCTAGTGAACATCCTACGGCTGCTCATGAATTTGCTCACAGCGTGATAGAAACCAATAATATGAGTGTTTTCCTGCTCAGTAATCTTCTTAATTTTAAAGTGGTGGGAACGGGTTTCTTTCTTTTTTTTTTTTTTTTTTTTTTTTTTTTTTTTTTTTTNTTTCTCTGTGGCTTTGGAGCCTGTCCTGGCACTAGCTCTGTAGACCAGGCTGGTCTCGAACTCACAGAGATCCACCTGCCTCTGCCTCCCGAGTGCTGGGATTAAAGGCGTGCGCCACCATCGCCCGGCGGGAACGGGTTTCTACCAGCAATTCTCTCTGCTGCTGGAGTCCTTGGAATTGGCCTGTGAGCAGAGGATAATTTTGCAGGGGCTCTTCTCCCACTCTCCAGCTTCCTTGGCTTTCCTCCTTCACCTCTCCCCTAGGGATGCTGGTTTCTGCTGGCTTGTTGGAACAATAGTCTCACTGAGAAGCAGGGGCCAAGGCTGACCACCTAAAAGTTATGGATGAAGGAGAGCTGTGGAGACAGACATGCTCTGAAGGAAGAGAGCTGTGCAAGGCAGAGTCTGCAGAGTAACAGGACTGATACAATGTGATCCTATAAGAGAAGAATTCCTGAAGTGGCTTCAGATAGATCTGGATGGGGTAGGCAAACAATAGCTGTCATAGATGCTAAGTTGGATACCTCAACAGACCCATTCCACTACAGAAGGCCTAGAAGAACTTGGGGTGTCTTTGGTTTTCAGTTTACATTTAAAGGCCAAGAATTTGAAGTTTTATGTAAGAATATAGCAGCTGCTAAGATAAAGATGCATTCACCAGCAAGACTCAGAAGCATGCAAACCACATTGCACTCTCTTCTGATTTCTTCATATCTGGGCTGACATAAAAGGTACCACCCATTCATTCTAGGGGGAAGGGTCTTTCCCCTCAGTTCAGTTAACCTTTTCTAGAAATACCTTCACAGATCAGCCTGAGGTGTGTCTGTTCATTAATTCCAGATCTTGCCAAACTGATAATCCAGACTAACTATTTGGCCTTTGAGAATGCTCAGCCAGTAAACGGGCTTGCCACCAAGCTCAACTCCCTGGGTTCAATCCTTGACACCCACAAGGAGAGAAATGATTCCTGTAGGTTGTCTTCTGACCTCAGCACACCGTGGCACATGCACAGGCACACAAACCCATACAAAATCAGTGTAAATTTAAAAGTCTTTTAAAGATCAACTGTCACAAAAGGTCTTTTACAATGATCAAATGTGAACAAAACAGATTGGTAACTGTAGGACCCAGGGAAAAATAAAATCAGGAGATACCTTGTTCCAGCTTGCAGGGATTTCAAGGTGGCAATAATAGAACACTGAGCCATATGCAAGTCTGTGCTGCCATGCTTGGTGAGCATCTATAATGATGGCCTGAGCACAGTCACCAAACACTTTCAGCCCTAACCACAGAAGTTCAAGTTTCTTCTTAGCATTGCATGCTAGGTCTGCGGAAGTGAATTGGGAACAGAGTAGAAGGAGAGAGACCTAGAAATACCAATGAGTGTGCACATGTGTCTAGGAGCCCCACAAGATACGAATCTTAAAGGGGGCGGGTGGATATATCCAATATCAAATTAGTCAACCCTGAGAACATTTACATACAAGTGACATTATATGGACTTAGCAGGACTTTAGCAATACATGCACACACCACCAACAACAACAATTAGAGGCCATGAGAAAGAGCAAGGTGGGTGCATGGGAGGGGCTGGGGGAAGACAAGGAAGGGGAAAATTATGCAATTATAATTTTAAAAATAAAAAATGTACACATAAAAAGGAGGCAGATAATTGGGACTTAGATGTTCTTCATAAAGAGCAGATAGTCGGTGCTAAAGACACTTTTTAAGGCAGAAAGACAATGACTTTTGGGAGGATATTCCCCCTGCCTGAAGAGTAGACATGACTGGGATGAAGTCCTTCTGGGTCCTCTGGATTTTCAGTCTCTTTGTGACAGGAGTTTAATGTCCTTTTGTACTTATGGAACTGCAGTTTGCACTTAGAAAACAGGCCAAAGATTGGGGGAGGGGGAGGGAAAGGGGAGGCGGTGGTGGGGAAGAGAGAGAAATCTTTAATTAATTAATAAAGAAATAAATAAATTTTAAAAAAAGAAAACAGGCCAAAGGTAGTCACTGTTGGCAGAGGTTTCTGTTTCCCATCCCCAACCCCCTGCCCTGTCCCACAGCTGTTCAGTCCCAAAGAAACACACTGAGGCTTACATTAATTATAAACTGGTTGGCCTGTTAGCTCAGGCTTCTTATTAACTAACTCTTACATCTTAACCCAAAATTCTTGTCTATGTTAACCATGTGGCTTGGTGCCTTTTATCAGTGAGGCATTCTCATCTTGCTTTCTCTGTGTCTGGGTGCCAACTGCAGACAGAGCCTTTCCTCTTCCCAGAATTCTCCTGTTCTAGTCATCCCACCTACACTTCCTGCCTGACTACTGGCCAATCAGCATTTTATTAAACCGATACAAGTGACAAATCTTTACAGGGTACAAGACCATTGTCCAACGTCCAACAGTAAGTCACTTTCTAAACTACTAAAAGGTCACTTGATAGAGCAGTTCTTAAGTTTTTCCTTCTTGGACTTGGGGGCACAGGCCTTCAATCCCACCTCCTCATGAGGCTGACACAGGAGAATCAGGAGTTCAAGGCCTGCCTGGTGATTTGGTAAACCCCCTCTCAAAAATCTTTAAATAAAATACAAACAGGGCCTGGGATGTGGCTCAGTGGAAGGGTATTTGCCCAGCATATTCAAAGTGCTGGGTTCAATCCCAAGAGCTTCTAAAAAAGGAGTCCTTTTGTCACAGAAATGCAACATACTTGATTATATATATAGATGTACATATACATATATAATCATATATATGACTCATACATGTGTATAATATATATTAGTCATACATGTATATAATCAATATACATATGAGTCATACATGTATATATTATATATAATCTATATATGTGTCATACATGTCACACGATACCTGAAAAATGGTATGTCCTGCTTAAAATAATTGCCTTTTTCTCTTCTCCTATGCTCATTATCTCTTCACTCCAACCCAACACCCCCCCTTCCCCACCCTACATACACACCAAAAGAAAGGCTGCAGCAATCCAGGGCTCCCATTCTATTGCCTAAGCAGCTTTCTGTCCATCAAACCAAAGAGTATGAGTTTGGGTTTGTTTGGTGGAGGAAAACCTCAAACTTTTAGTCCATTCTACACACCGGCCTGAGAAAGCCAAGACTGGGGACTCTCCCAAAAATAACAGAAACCAGATAATTCTTTGAGTTAGGAAGCCAGCCATTCTGAGCACTTCCCACTGAAGCTTACTGGCTGGTCCATGATCCTCAGGCACCGAGAGAAGGGGCAACCACAGCGTCTAGGTTTGTTCATCCCAACAGACTGAGCACCTACCATGTGCCTGGCACTGCTCTGGGCCCTGTGGCTACAGCCACCATCAAGACTGCTCAAGTGACACAGAGGAAAGTTCACAACATCTGTAACTCATGAGGCATGAGGACAGTCTCGGAGAAAATACAGTCACAGCACTTTGTAGTGAAGAGATTGTCACCAACCCTCTGGCCCTTGGCGTTCCCTCTTGCAACCATCTTGACAAGAAAGCAGAACCTGAAAGAAAAAAAGAAATAAGAAGGAAAGACCATGACTGTTCCTGGGTATCATGGAGGAGAAAATTTATTGTAGATAAAAAAGAGCAGAGCTAGAGTCAGGGACATCTGGTGTGGGGGGTCCTTCTGTCTGTGCGTTGCTTTTATTGGTTAATGAATAAAGAACTGGCTTGGCCTATAGCATGGGAGGAGGAAGGCAGAGTCAGAGAGAAGTCATGGAGCCACTGGAGACAGACGCTGGGAACTTTAGCCATAAACCACAGCCACATGGCAATATACAGACTAGAGATGGGTTAGGTTAGAATATGAGTTTAGCCAGAAATACACTTAGGCTATTGGCCAAACAGTATTGCAAATAATATAGCTTCTGTGTGGTTGTTTCAGTTCTGGGCGGCTGGGACGAACAAGCAGTCCCCTGCAACAGATATCTGGGACATGACAAGGCTGAGCTGAGCCAGGTGAGGCGATGAGAGGGGAAGGGAGTGCAGAGAGGGAAACCAGGTGTAGCAACCAGGAGGCCCAAAGGCACCAGGTGGAGTTGGTGGTGGGGTAACCAAAATGGTTGTATTAACAGGGAAGATCAGCCTAGCCCCCTGGGCTGCAGAGTTCAGGACCTACACAAGCCAGGAGGCTCTGTAAGCCCTGTAGGGGCTGACAAATGCTAGGAGAACCTGGTGGCCAGGTTCACTTTGATATGTTAAATAGGCACCTCAGCCATTTGTCCTAGGGATTGAGACTTAATCAGAAATGTCACAGCTTCTCAAGGAAGGCTGTCATCTGTATCCTCCACAACCCTCCCCACTTCACACTTTTGTCCCCTAGAGCATGATGTCATCATGTCCCTCCCCCCCCCCCCTCCCCCCCCCCCCATCACTTTTCTAATATCAGAAAGCCTCTGCCGTAAATCTGTTATATTTCTTCTCAGGAGTGTGGAACACAGAGGGATGGTCCAGACTGAGCCCACGTGCAGCTTCAGATGCCTGGGTGGTCCTGGACCGGCTGCGCATGCTCATTAGAAGTCTGTGTAAGGAGGGCTGGAGCCGACTGCGAGGGGCAAATGTGAACACCTCCCGTCATTGTGTGTCACCCGAACCAGACCCTTGAGGAAACACCGTGAAGGAGGAAGGATTACTCTTTGCCTCACGGCTTCTGAGAGCTTGTTTTTTGCTTGCTTGGCCCCGTCTGCCTGGACAAAAAGCCACACACTTGTGTGTGATGGAGGAGAGGCCGATTCAATTCGTGTTGCACAAGAAGCCGAGAGAACTAGAAGCAGGGACCCAATAACCTGCTTCCCCCAGCGAGGCTCCACCTCCTAAAGTGTCCCGGACGTCTCCAAATGGTGCCACTTTTATCAAACTTGAGGTCACAGTCTGTACACTTAGAAGTCAAATTTGGCCACTTGTCCTGGAGAAGTCAATTGAAATAAATCAGTAGTAAAAAGACCAAAAAAGGAGATTCATTCAATATGGCTGCATTTGGAAGAAGGAAGAAGGACAAGAAATCCAGTGACCTCCCTCCAGTCCATCTTCAGCTTCCCAAAGTGGCATTAAAGTTTAAACAGAAATAAGCATAATTAAGAATTCCTGGTCAAAGAGTGGTCCTGCCCACCACTGACCCATCCGCCATTGTCTGGACTTCCGGCTCACCTTACAAGGTGACGTGACAAGTTTTTGGAACTGTGTGCAGTCTCTTTCCTGGGAAGTTTTCCCTCTGGCTGGCACCAGGCTTCAGCCTTTTCCTTCCCAACACTGGCTTCCTAGGGGGAATTCCAGCTCATTCCAGCTCCGCAGAGCCCATTGTTTCCAAGTCTGAAAGTCAGATTAAGGGGCATAGGTGTCGCCTTAGAACGTGCTGGTTTCTGCCGGGCCAGTTACAACACATCAGTCACATGAGCCCACGAGGGACGTTTCAGGTTTGTATATAATGCCAGAGGGAGAGTTAGAAGGGGTGACATGAGAGGCACCCACATGTGTGTAGGACAGGACAGGATTTCTTGGAGGTAAGGTTATGAGTAATTAATGTTTCTGTGCTTTGAGTATTTTCTACAATGAATGCATGGATAGAATTGCTAATAGAGAATTCAGGGTGCCCAGGAAGGGACTCATAGTCTTGTTTGTAAGAGAATTTAAGAATTAACTTCAAAAGGAAGCTTGAGGACAGTTTTGCGAGAATTTTTAAGAAAAATCCCAGAGCAGGTACGGAGGGAAAAAGAAGGACAGAGAAAAAGAAAAGGCTGTACCATTTGAGTTAAGGAGGCCACACGTTGCGTGAGCAGTCACGTGACACATAAGCAGCCCCATGGAAAGTAGGGAGCATTAAAAAAACGATGACAAAAGCCTGGATAACCAGCGACCTCAGGCTTAGGCTCTAGTCAGTGTCCCAAAGGAAAAGACAGAAGAGAAAAAAGAAAAAGAAAGGTTTTATCTGTTGTAGTCAAAGCTCAGAGAAGCAGGGGACTCAACAGAACCCCTGAGGAAGCTCAGAGAGACTGCACTAGGAAGGCTGGGAATTCTGGGAGGACAAGTATGTTATCTGATTAAAGGGATAATTATTCCTCCTACCTGCCTCCCTGAAGGGTGGTATCTTGGCCAGGTAATTGGCTGGCCCAACTGGATTAACTTTTAAGGGGTAATGATGCACCGTGTCTGCACCCAGAGGTAGATTCCATTTTCAAAATGATAAAACGACAACAAAAGACTTAGAAACTGATCCCCACAGTGATCGACTTGCCAGCTTTTCCATTTCAACTGCAGACAAAGGCCCTTTAGTTGACCTAATAAGCAACATCAGAATATGGGGAAGGCAAATATATATATGCAATATATATAAAATACATACTAAATATGTATAATATATTTGTAATATTATAATATATATATAGTAAAGAAAGCTCTCTGTAGTATTTTGGACCTATCACTGGCCACATGACACTTTAAATTTTTTTACTGGCAAGAAAGAAAGAAAGAAAGAAAGAGAAAGAAAAAAAGAGAAAGAAAGAAAGAAAGAAAGAAAGAAAGAAAGAAAGAAAGAAAGAAAGAAAGAGAGATAACCACAGTCTTCATTAGCATCTAAAATGAAAGGAACCGGAGCAGAACCAGATAACTCCCCCCACCCCTACCCCTGATGCTGGGACCGATGATGGCCTGGGACAGCGCATGGACACCTAAACACTGCTTCTTAACACATAATCACATTCAATGAGAATTGTTTTTCAGGTGTTCGAGAGATCTCGAGATGATCAAAGACATCCACAAAAGTAAAATCACCACCTAGAGAGTTTAGGTTATACTTATGGGATTTAAGGAAATAAGAAGTCTGAATTATATTTGTAACCAATGGCTATTTCACAGTAAGCATCTTCATGTTTTGAACACGATAAAGTCTGTTTCTCATAACTCTCTTGAGAGGCAGTCGTGAGAACCTGTTGGACTGTAGGTTAGAAGATGGTCTCCTAGGAGATCAAGGTGCTGAGCAGTCATAGGAAAGCCAGGCACACACTGAGACATGCTCTTTTCAAAAACCAAGCTGAGGAGGAAGAGATGTTGGCTGTGATCTGTGGCTTTAGAAGTCAAACTTTTCTACCCCAAACTCTAAGTTTCCTGTAATAATAACGCCTTCTTAGCTCCTATAAAACAGCTGATGTGAAAATGTTGAAAGAGTTATTTGTCTATTAATTACAATGTTTTCTGTGTGGCGCTCGTGTTCTTGTTAGCAGCATAATTTAGTCCTCCAAAGTTGGGGCTGCACAGACTCCCTGGTTCGGATCCCAGCCTTACCACTCACTAGTCACCTGTCTGTGGTCTTTGGTTCTCCGCCTCTAAAGAGGAAATCACTAGGTATCAAGTTCTTTAAAAATGTTTGAGGAAAATGAGAGTAACCCCTATTAGGATTGGGGATATGTTTTAGTATAAAGGGTTTACCAGCACACATAAGGGCCTGGGTTCCATCCTGCAACCAAACCAAACCAAAACAAGAAAAGCCTCATTGTTATTGCAGCTTCAATTATTATGGCCTGAAGGAGTGAATTCCCCTCACAGAGGTTTCTAACTTATTATTAAAGCTGGTATTAGAAAAAATGAAATTCTACCTTTCAGATTTGTAAAAATGTGGTTAATTTTCAAATGTGACAGATGCAACTATTTTAATGGGATGGGTGTGTGTGTGTGTGCATGCCTCTCTCTCTCTCTCTCTCTCTCTCTCTCTCTCTCTCTCTCTCTCTGTGTGTGTGTGTGTGTGTGTGTGTGTGTGTGTGTGTATTCCACAGCTGGGGAGTAGAGCCAGACCTTCGTGCATGCTGGACCAGTGATCTACCCATGAGCGACTTCCGAAGTCCTGATGCTTCACATGGGGGTAAAGCAGAAAATTCTTCGGTTTTTTTCCAAATCAATAAAGGAATGAATCTAGGTGAGCGTTTCAGCTAAGCCAGTTTGAGGAATAAGGTGTCTCCTATCCCATTATGTCATCCTCTAGCTCTGTCCCACGGCCCCGACCCTTTTTCCTGCAGTGTTGGGTGTTGGTTGGGAAATCCCCTACTAACAATAACTCCCTTGCCCTTCCTGAATGGGGATAGCACTTGCTGGTGAGGATGAATGTCTGCTTTTGTTATTTACAAAATAGTTTCCTCTAACTCCTTGAGTTTTAACACCATTCTCTTTGCTTCCATTCCCTCCTCAGGAATGACCTGATGCAGCTCTTTAGAGGCCTGGAAGGTCGCCTGCACAAATCACTCCAGCTAGCCGCTGAGTCCTAATGACAGCCCCATTAATGTGGCCCCCCTCTGTGGGAGTTTACTTTCTGGGCTCAGTGTGTTTTACTGCAGGTTGTTAAGAGCCCTTGTGTGCAGAGGTGCCTCAGAGCCCTAAGGCTTCCTGTGTACCCTGAGAGCAGCACCAGCCCAGTGCTCCTGGAGAGCGCTCCAGCTTTATAGGAGGCTGAAGGAGGGATGGAAAGAAACCCTCATGGGGGGGGGGGGATTTAAGATCAGGCATCTGCTCGCCTGCCTTGACTCTGTGAGAAGGCACCCAGGCATGGAGACAGATGTGGTCTTCCCAACCGCCTGCTCCAAACTACAGCCCCAGCAGAGCCACTGTGATTCTGGAAGGATCCCCGTTCTAGAAAGAGAAAAGAGAACCCACCCCACCCCCTGCTGTCTGAACAAAAAAAAAAAAATCTAGGGTTAGGTCCCTGTTTGTGGTGACAATCAGACAGATTGTCCTATCTGTACAAACATGTTGTGTTTACAGGAAGCTTGTTTGAAATCTCGTCCAAGTCAAGCATCTAAGGAGAGGTCATGATCTCACTGTGCCAGACAGGCAGCAATCACAGGTCTACAAAAGCTGAGAAAGTTCTAGCACTGGGCAGCTTTCCAGCTCCGGCCCTTGTCACATCATCCACCTGTAAAGCCAGCCCTGAAACCTGTGCTGCCCAGAAGCGGGAACTGTCTCCCAACCAGAGGATAACCCCAGATGGAAGTGCGGTGGGGTACCGAGACTAAACTCCTCATTGCATGGGTGTGCGGTCCAGCAGAGAGCCCTGGAGGGGCCAAAACCGATGTCACAGGGGGTCTGCCACAAGAGCTGGCCCGGCCGGGGCTAGGGAATTTCTAGTCCTAAAATAATCAGATGGGGCCTGCTCTCCTGGCCAGAAGGAGTAGGCCTAAGGAAAGAGTGAATTTTTCATCACAAGGAAAGAAGGATGCCCCAGAGTTTCACCAGCTCAGAACCAGCCCCCTGAGGAGGCTCACCCACGGTTGGAGAAGCCAATTCCTCCCACCCTGACTATACACCCTCAGACAAGGTTCTCCCTCCCCACCGGAGAGCTCTTGTTACTATGGGACTCCACAATAGCCACGCACTATCCACACAGCCATTCCTCTGGTGAGTGGCAAGACTTCAGCGTCTGCCGAATGGTAGTGGCTCTTCAATAAAAAGCTGTTGACCACAAGCCAATTTGGGTACGTGAGTTGATACTGTGCTTCTGTGGAGCTCTGACTTCATGGGTGACTCAAGAGGCCTTCACTCCTGAGGTGATATTCTAGATATTCCTAGCCAAGAGCAAATCTGTATTTGTGTTGCTGGCATGCTACATTGAGCTGTGTCTGTGAAGGTTGGAGTTGGTAAGCGGGGAGGAGAATACTGAGGACATGTGGAGGCTTCCAGTAGAGTAGCCAAGGAAGCAGGGCTCAAGCAGGGGCAAAAATCAAGTCAGTGAGAGTTAGAGGGTTCAGTTCCTGTGAGGGGAAGCTACTCCACCAGGCTTGGGTCTCCCCTCCTGGAATCTCCCCTCTTCCTGAGCAATGCTTGTGATGCTCCTACTAGCTCTGGGATTCCACACCTGAGGGGCCATCCACCCTTGCTCCCCCACTTCAGAGTCAGGCAACACACCATGGCCCTGTCAATTCTTGGCTTTTGTGACCCCTGCCCCCTACCTCCACCTCAGGAGTCCTTTCTGACCCCTGCAAGGTCTTGCTTACCCTTCACTCATCCCACAGGTGTGAGGCAACCACTGTCAACCTTATTTTACAAAGGAAGAAACTGAGGCATGGGCAGGAAGTAAGACTTTCCCACAGGCTCATGCCTAGTAGCTTTACCTCTCATTGTTGCTACGGTATTGTAAGAAAGAGCCAAACTTAAGCCATTTTGGATAGAAGTTCCATTTTGAGTAAGGGCCAAATAAATAAGTTCCCAAGACCTCCGCAGATCTCCCTGGGTTTCTGGCATCACTGACATGCTGGTTGGCAAGGTAAGACATAAATGTTGGGCAAGTCATCCTGCCACAGTTGGGTGAACCAACCAATGAGAGCAAGATAAGTGTACCACAGAGAAACATTCCTAGGAAAGTCCCTAATCCCTGAAAGCTGATTGGTGAAAGTGTAGCTGGAACTTGGCACAGATGTTTTTAGTTACCATGCTTAAAAGCTCTGTAATTATCTGGCTTGGAGTCTCAGTTCAGCCCCTGAGTCTGTTCTGCTGGATCTCCTGATGGATCAGTAGTGGCTTGATTACAAGAGTTTTTTGCATTGACTTGGTGTTTGAGTTGTGTTGGATCCAAGTAGATCCCATAACATATTAGATATTTGAAGCCACCAATGTGAAGTGTTTGCCATGATTTGAATGAGTTTGTCTCCCACAAACTCATGTGTTTGGATGCTTGGTCCCTGGCTGATTATTTGGGAAGGTTTGAGGAAACTTTAAGAGCCTTGGGGGTAAGCCTTTGAAGGTTTTACTTGGACCCCAGTTCCTGTTTCTCTGTTCCTGTTTGCCATGGAGTAAGATTCCTACCCCACAACACACACAGTCTCCCCTGCTACCATGGTGTTCTGTCTATGTACACAGACCAAGAGCAAATAGGAATCCTTCCTCTTCTAAGGTACAGTTCTCAGGTATTTGGCCACAGAGATACAAAAGTCACTAAAACAGAGCTTAACACAAAGGGCCGACATACCAGCTCGTACAAATAATTTCTTTGTTGTTAAATTCTACCACCAATACACTTCCTTATTTTTCACACTGGCAGTTGCTGAAACAAAGAGAACAATGATCTCTTCCTTCTGTTTTGTCTTCCTTCTGTTAAGTCTATTTCATCCTTATATCTCTGCCACACAGTACGACCCTACTCACCACACTAATTCTACATAATCTATGACCACAAACCTCAGGGATGTTGGCTCTTGGGTCAGGAGTAGGCTGGACAGCTCTGCTGGGGAACACCACATATCTGACTCAGCTGACTGTAGGCCGAATGGTTGGGTTTAGCACGCTGCATCTTGCCTGGACATGTTTCTTGACAGGGTATAGAGGAACCCAAGAAAATAAGTGGAATCCTGCAAACACCATTTGATCTGTCCTGGTGCAGTGGTAACGTCCCATTAGCAGAAGAGCCGAGTCGCATGGCTAAGGGCAGCATCAAGGACTAGGAAGGTGAACCACTTCTTCATGGGACAAACTAGAGTAACATGGCAAAGACTATTGAATGCAAGAAGCAATGTAAATACCGCCTTCATTCTGGCTCCAGCTAGTGCTGGCTCCACTCCTTGAGCAGATAAACTCCCTTGACCGCAACTCCAGCTTAGTGATGGTCTACCACCCCCAAAGCCAGATCTTCACCCCATAAAAGGTCTCCAGAAAGATCTGTGATGAGTGTTTATAACAAAGCATGTGGACCACAAGTTGGTTTTTGTTTGTTTAGTTTTATGGGGCCAGTGTTAGGAGATAATTCTCCCCCATGTCTTCATGTCTGGTGAGGCATACCGCCATGTGTTCCTAAACATATTTTCAAGGGTTTGTACCATTCCTGTTGATACTGGGGAGTCTTTTCCACAATAGCCTCTTCTGTCAAGAGCAGATACCATCAAACTTCTAAAGATGTCAGTTTGCCCCTTGTGCAGGAAACTTCCTTCTGTCTGCCAAGGGATGCTGCACTCCAGTGTTGCCTACTGTCCTGCATAAGAAATTTGCTCAATCACCCCTGCATATCAGAGCTTTCTGACCCTTTCATCCGTAGTGTGCCAAGGCAATTCAAGTGCTTCTATCTTACTTGAGTACATTATTTCTTAGTGTAAGAAAGATAATCTCTGGTTGCATCCCAATTATGTAACATTTTTGAAAAAACTATAAGTTAGAGACTAGATTAGTGACTGGGAAGGGATAGGAATGATATATGTGTTGGGGGATGGTGTGTGGAAGGGTAGGAGTGAGCGCAGCTACAAAGAGGAAGGAGACAGGGGTTTTACAGAAATGACTGGGCAGCTCATCTCTTTTGTGGTAGAGTCACATAGGTCTTTTGTGGGAATAAATTAGCACAGGATGAAGAGGTCCATATAAATATTCTCACGTAGAAGTTGATAGCAGCTTTCTGGATAATTACCAAAACTTGAGAATGACCAACGTAACTTTCAATAGGTGAAGATGTCTTTTGTCGTATTAAGAAATGAGGTATTCAGACATAAAATGACATGGAGGAAAGTTAAACACATATTGCTAAGTAAAAATGGCGTATCTGAAAAGCTACATGCCGTAAGATTCTGTTACAGATTAGCTTTTGTCCAAAATGCATGAGAACAGAAGAGCTTTGGACTTTGGATACTTTAATCTTTGGAATATCTGTATATGTTCAGGAAAATAGACTGGGAAGGGACCCCAGTCTAAAGGCTAAATTTGCCTATGTTTTCTTATCCTCTGACCCAGAGCCTGAAGGTGATTAGACAAAACACACCTGTGTTTTAACTGCCGTGGGTCACATAAGGTCAGGGGTGTATTTCCCACTTGGGGTATCAGGTGTGTATTTAAAAGTTCTGAATTTTGGAGCATTTAGCCATTTTAGATTAAGGTTGCTCAACCTGAATTTGACATTCTAAAGACATGAAGGTATAGAGACTATTATGGGAATAGTAATTATCGTGATTATTGTGGGCTGCAGGGCAGGGAGGGGGAAGAGGTAGGGCACAGGGGATACTTAGGTCAGTGAAAATATTCTGCAGGGGCCTGCAGTAGTGATGGTGTCATTATCTGTTTGTCCAAGTCCATAGAACATACACCACCAAGAGCGGCAGTAACCCAAGCTAAAGTAGACTTTAGAAAGAGCATATTTTTTTTCATTTTTTTATTAATTTATTTTTTTATTAAAGATTTCTGTCTCTTTTCCACCACGGCCTCCCATTTCCCTCCCCCTCCCCCAATCAAGTCCCCCTCTCTCCTCAGCTCAAAGAGCAATCAGGGTTCCCTGCCCTGTGGGAAGTCCAAGGACCACCCATTTCCATCCATGTCTAGTAAGGTGAGCATCCAAACTGCCTAGGCTCCCACAAAGCCAGTTCGTGCAGTAGGATCAAAAACCCATTGCCATTGTTCTTGAGTTCTCAGTAGTCCTCATTGTCCGCTATGTTCAGCGAGTCCGGGTTTATCCCAGGCTTTTTCAGATCCAGGCCAGCTGGCCTTGGTGAGTTCCCAATAGAACATCCCCATTGTCTCAGTGTGTGGGTGCACCCCTCGCGGTCCTGAAGGCACCTGTGCATACATTTTGTTGGGACCAGCCGACCTGTTCTCATGTGCCCAAACACAGGAGTGAGGATTGAGGAAAGAAACAGACAAAGACAGAAGAATAGAGTCAGGAGGGCTTTCAGTGAATACTGCAACCATCCCAAGTCTTTACTTACAGTCCTTATATGCCCCGATCAAAAGGGGAGGGCTGTAGAGGCCCAAAAATGTGAGCCGATTTCCATCCTGACAGGTGGTTAGGATGTACAAACTTACTTCTGCACCATCTTTTGTAATTGGAGGTTACCCGGGGAAGGGCTGCTTTCCAGATACTTGGTCTAGGGAAGCTTCCCTGCCTAAACAACAGAATGCTAATGACTTGATGCCCCAAAGTGTTAAAACAATTAACTGTTCAAGTTGTCCTTTGTATCATGTTAAAGAAGTCTTCTGTTGTTTTCTTCCCCCTCTGTGTTGGAGTGTAAAAGTGTATGGAAAATTAAATGCAAATGATTTCAGTATTCACTAGAATGCCCTCCCAATTCTATGGTTTCTGATTTGTTATTTTCAAACATGTCATTGTATTCTTCACTAATATTTCTAAATCCCCACACCCCTACTCTGGCAAGAGATATTTTTGTGGAGGCCAATCCCCGACATATTGCAGCCCAACATAGTGTGGTCTCTGACAGAGGGCAAAAGACTTCTTTACCAATGATACAAGAAAAACAAGCAAGCATAATTACCTCCTTACATCTCAAAACACCTGGTAACCATGCCCCAAGTCAAACATTCTGCTGTCTGGCCTTTGAGGAGCAAAGCATCCAGTAGCCACATCTTTGGTCAAACATCCTGTTGTTTGTCCTTGAGGAGCAAGAATAGGTTTGAACTCTCTGACTTTTAGTCTAGATGGAATGGATTCAAATCTGTGGGCTCCCATAACAAATGAAGCTTGAAAG